CCTCTGGTTCTGTTGCAAGGAACTGTGGAAAAACCACAACAGGTCAGAATGTTTTTGACACTAGAGATTCCTATCTGGGTTCTGTGGATTTATCTTGTGAATTGTACATGGGTATGCATCTAACAGTGCTAATATTGTCCAGTACCTTTTAAAGGATCTCATGACACCCTGGTTGAAAACTACTCCTGTATGAGTGATAGTTAAAAAAGAATGGGTATATTTTTTAACTGGTTACTACATGCTGTCAGAGCATGTTGACCCAAAGGAGTGAAGTATGCAGGCTTTCCTGAATAATAAAGGTAACTTGCTAGTAGGTGGAGTTTATCTTTTTAATTTACTGTCCTTGTATTCTTAAACTTGACTGAGGGAGTCTCTGACAATATTGTAACAACAAGGCACCATCTAGTGGTCACATTGTTTTCCTTGTCCACTGTTTTTAAAGTGCAGCAGATAGCAGCAGCACCATATCTCTGCTGTTAGCAAGCCTTCATTCACAGCAACATTGAAACACCTGGCTATGGGAAGCAATGGTTTAAAGGGGTGCTCAACCCCTGGCTCACAGAGCCGTGTCATCTGGCCCACGTTACTCCGAAGAGTCCAGATAATGGGGGGAGCAGGGCAACCTTAGTTGCCTCTTCCCTGCTGCCAAATTTCTGAACCCCCATGGACCGTATAGCATGGCCCTGTGTGCTACATTGGGCATGTGGGGCCGGATCTGGCAGGATAAGGCCCAGTCTGGCTGCATAGGGCTGGAGCAAGGCAGTGCAAGGCCCGATTTTTTTTTTTTTTTTTTTTTTTTGGTACACAGTGTAGGGTTACCGTATTTCCAGGTACGTAAAAGAGGACACTGGGGCGAGGGGAATATGATGATGGGGGAACAGTGACATACCAGTGCTCTGCCCCTGCTCATTCTGTTGCCGCTCACTGACAAGCCACACCCCGCCAGCCCTGCTACTGCTCCTCGCTCCAGACCCACTGACCCGCAGCCCCCTGGTGCTGTCAGTGCCCTGCACATGGTCCTATCCCCCATGCCCCTCACTTCTGATCTGCAGCCCCTTGCCTCCCTTCCAGCCCTGGCAGTGCCCCTCATTGCCTACCCACAGCCCCTGCCCCCCTGCCAGTGCCCCTCACTCCCAACCTGCAGCCCCTGCACCCTCCAGTGCTGCCAGTGTCCTGCACTCTGGACCCACAAACCCCTGCCCACCCCCTGAGCCCCTCACTCCCAACCTGCAGCCCCTGCACCCTCCAGTGCTGCCAGTGTCCTGCACTCTGGACCCACAAACCCCTGCCCACCCCCTGACCCCCAGCCCTGCTGCCCAAGCAGCTCCTGCATTGTGCATGTGCCTGCTCGCTCACTCGCTTGTTCATGTGTGCGCTCTCTTCAGAGCACGTGACCCTCAACAGCCAGTCACCTTGCCCACTGCTCCCAGCCCAAGCAGCCAGACCGGGAGAGCAGAAAACCCGGGCATTTCCTCTTATTTTAAAAAACCTGCCTGGATGCAGCACAGGAGTCCAAAAAAGAGGACATGTCTGGGGAAAACCTGGATGTATGGTAACCCTAGTGTAGGACCAAAGCAGCACAGGGCCTGAAACAGGCACCCAAGGCCGAGGTGGCACAGAGCCCTGGTGAACTGGGCCAGGCTTGCCTGAGCCAAAGCAGCACAGGGCCTAGCCAAGGCACCATTGGTTCCAGTCCCAGCACTGATCTTGGGATCTGGCCCCCACCACTCATCTGGACTTCAGGGCCAAAAGGTTGAACACCATTGGCTTTAAAACACAGTTCTTCCACAGCTGACTCCATGAAATAAGCTGCTTGCTGAACCTATGATATTTCAACAGATTTTTTTTCACAAACTCCAGCTATTATTTTATTGCTCCAAGCATCAGAAATTTAAATATTTTTCTGTAAACTGTACTCAGTAAATGAAACCACCTAATTAAGTGAAAAATTATACTTTTATAATTACTTTATAACTAGTAAAGTTAAAATTTAGCTTACCTAAAAATACCAAAGCAAAAAATGCAGGGCTGTTTTCTTAAAAGGAAGCACCAGAAATGTGTGAGGAGGCTCACAGCTAAAGATCTATACCACCAAATGCGGTTTTGGCCTCCATGGCCCCTGTGCCTTCTGATTTTTCCAACTAGACTATCATTGTTTAATTTCTTACAAAGCTGTTTGGCACAAACCTGTCCTGAATGGGCTCTTGAATGCTAAAGAAGACTAATAGGAAAGATAGGTCCCTGGAAAGACTAAATAACCTACATGTGGGGGAGCTAAATCAGAGAGAAAGCTTGGGTAATTTGGGCATGGAGACTGAAATTAAGGGATAAAAGCCATATCTGGGAAATCCTAGGCCAGTGCAACCAAACTACAAGGTTCTCCCTCCTTCTGTATCTCCTTGGGGTGGCACTGATCTCTACAAAGACTTTGGAGATGTCCCCCCTCTAACCAAAGCAGCACAGGGCCTAGCCCTGTGTAAGTAATTTGTAAGTAATTACTGCAGTGTAAGTAATTTGACAAGTATCATATAAGAAGTCTGCACTGGGGCTCAAGGAGTACCCACGTCTCCTGGGTGCTAGTCTCTTGCCCTCATCAGTTCCATCATCCTTTTTCATGCAGTGCATTGATAATATTTTTATTTATATCCTGTCAGTGACACAGCCTTGTGATCAAGACTTGGATATGTCATGTCTGTATCAGAGCCTTTTATTCTACTACTATTCTAATATTAATTTAACTCTAGACAACCTCACTTATTTTACCTGCAAACTAATAAGAGCAAAAGTGTGTTAGAGACTAGAAGTATGAGTTGTCAGAAGAGACTTGATCTCATGGTGTTTTGCTTCCTGGGCCAGCACATGCTCTTTTAGGTACGGGGGAATATGCAAGGCCTGCATGTAACCAAATGAACTGGGCCTTGCCAATTTTTTTTTTTTTTTTTGAGCCTTCTCTCAGCTGGGACCCAACCCAGCATGTGCTGGGAGGCAGAGAGCCAGCACCCAACCTGAGCTTGCACCATGAAGTCAGGCACTAGGTACCCCACAGAAATGCAAGAGCTTGCCAGTGATCTGTTAGAGATGCATCTTGGAGCTAAGTCTGGGTGGTTTATGCCAACTATGTCTGAGGGATGTTGGAGAGAGGAGAGCCACTGGATTTTCCCTTCATGATCTCAGGCTGTGCAAAATTGCTGTAAGAGCCTGTCATTTTAAATGGCATCTCTTTGAGGAATTTTTTTAAGTCACCTACATTAGTTATCCCAATGCAGCACTTGCCTGTTAAGGTTATTGTAGCTATAGAGACTAGAACCACTTGTTCTTGTGGAATGTCACTGTAGTTGGAAAATAACATTTCCCATCAGGAAATGTACATCATGGCTGTTTGCAGACATTAAAAAAAAAAACAAAAACCCAAACAAAACAAAATACACTTTACCAGAAGAAGCAATGCATTCCTTTGACCTGGCTCCTCAGCGTCTGTATAGATCGGGCACTTCAGGGTTTTTTTTTAGCCCTTTTATCTAATAGCTGATTCAATCAGCTATTAGATAAAAGTGCCAAAACCCCCCACTAAACCCCCCAATCTATACAGACATTGGACGAGCCGGGCCCAGCTAATGATTCCAACAATTGCATATCCTGCCATGCCATGCCTGAGCTCCCCCCTGCACCAGCAAGATGAAACTGGGGTCCCTACCAATTGTCAGTTGGGGCCAGGAACCAAACCCATCCCCAGTTCCAGCCAACAATCAACAGATTGCCAAAACCCTGGCTGGGAGGCACAGGGCCCATGGGATCGGGCTGCAACAGCCTGATCCTGGCAACCCTATGTGCCAGGGATGAGTAAAAAGCCATGTGCCACTCACCTGGTCCCTCTGTGCACTGGGAGTTTTATAACTCCCAGTGCACAGAGGGCCCGGCATTGAGCTGCCATAGCTTCATGCCAGGCTCCCTGTGCATTGGAAGATAAAAAAAAAAACATATGCCACTCGGCTGAGTAGTATGTGGGGTTTGGGCAGGTCCTGGTTGATGGGAGTCCAGCACTGGGCTGCTGCAACTCAATGCCAGGGTCCCTATGCGCCAGGAGGTGTAAAACCTGGTGCACTGTCCAGCTCAGCACCTGAGGTTTTGACAGGTGTGTGATAAGGCATGATACAAATAAGCCCCAAAGTTATTCCACTTTATATGCAAAGTAACTTTGTGGCTCATTTACTTCACTATCACACCTTAAATTGACTTGCACATGTTGCTGGGTTACTATCTAAGGTGTGTCAAAATTCCGGACCATTAGCAATAGAAAATGTTGTGCCTTTTTTTTTCTTTTTGGAATGCCTATGAATTTAAAATGTAATTCTTTGTTTTAAAATACAGTTGTCAGCTATGCATTATGATCCATTTGTAGGCTAGTCTAATGAGCATTTTAGTTATTACCTGGCTACTTCATCTGTACAAAGCATTTTGCCTTATAGCTCATGCATTTTAGAAGTGGATTCCTGGTTTCTGCATCCATCCAGGCAGCTGTCATCCTTCAATTATTTTCTGTATCCTCAGCATGCTGCTTGCTTTGTTTTGAGATGTTTTAAATTTTTTATTTGAGAAAACCCCAGAATCTTCTCCATAGGTAGTCAAGCAGTCTTTCCATTTTCTATGTCTTGTTTCATGTGCTCATTAACCTGTTTGACTGAATATATCCCATAACTATTTTATCCAGTATGCTTTGCTGTGACACCTTATTAAGCATTCTTTGGAAACTGTACTTACAAACTGATTGCTTCATTTCATTTGTCAGCTGTTAAAGGGAACTTGCAACAGTTTTATCAGGACCCACCTGCTCTGAAATAGAATAGAACTACTTTTCAATGAACTCCATCTATAAATTTCATGTTTTCATTTCTGATATAGTCAGAAACTTACTGTTGTTTGGAACAAGGCTACATGTTGTGTGCCACGAGTGTGGTAGGGAACCAGGCCTCAGATTTCTCTTCTCTTTATGTTGCCTACAGGAAGAAGAAGGTGAGGATGCAGATCTCTCTTCTGGTCCTTCAGTTATTAGCCACAAGCTGCCTTCTGCCCAGACCATGCATCACTTCACACCTCGTTACTCTGAGATGAGCTGTGCTGGGATGCAGATGAGAGATGCCCATGAGGAGAACCCAGAAAGCATTCTTGATGAACATGTACAGCGCGTCATGAAAACCCCAGGCTGTCAGTCCCCAGGGCCTGGTCGCCATTCCCCCAAGCCTCGATCCCCAGAGAGCAGTCATGCTGGCAAGATGCCTGGCATGCCAGGGACAATACCTCCAGGGCATGGCAAGCACACCACAAAATCAGGAATGAAACTCGATGCAGCTAACTTGTACCACCATAAGCATGTCTACCACCACATCCATCACCACAGTATGATGAAACCAAAAGAGCAGATCGAGGCTGAGGCTACCCAGAGAGTACAGAACAGCTTTGCTTGGAATGTAGATTCACATAACTATGCAACAAAATCACGAAACTACAATGAAAGCATGGTCATGGCACCCAACCCCATGGAATCACTAGGCTACAGGTGAGCAGGCACAGCACCTGTGAAAGTCCTGAGCTGTTTCTTTGTAACAATTTTATTTGCATTGTGCAAGTCACTGTATAAATGAAGTGTGGCCCTGTTTCTAAGATAGGTGTATAACATTCTGGCATCCCTATGGGCTGCTGCTTACCGTAGGAGCCCATACTAGGACAGAGTTTGAATTCCTCTCATCTATTTGGCAGATCCTTTCCCTTCAGAAGTAGCTTTTTGCAGTTGTGCATGCCTTTACCATCTCTATGATATATCCATGGAAAGGCTTCCTCTGAAATTGGTCTGCACCTTCAGCAGTTATGATATGTGGTAGGTCTCCTGCTCTTCATTGTGCTGTAAGTGTATAAAAGCTGTAGATGGGACTTCTTTCTGCATGCTGTATCACTGCCACTAAACTGAAGGTTGAATTTTTCAGGGTCTTATTACCATTTTTCTGGGTTTAATGAGAGCATGTAAACACCATTTTTAGTGCAGGACCCAAGGTTTACCTTGCTCCACACACTGAAATAGCTAATATTAGCTGGACTGACTTGCCCACCCTCCAACAACCAAGGTTCAGTCTTGATTGGGCCTCAGATGGAAACCACTTCCTGAAGAAGATCATTGCTGTGTTTCTGGAGCTGCGTTCAAATCCTTCCTTTTCTGTTTTCTCCCCCCACCCATCTGTGTGCTTATCTGACAGAGAAGAAGCAGCAGCGAATGTTTGGTTCTGCTCTTTTGCACCAGGTTTCATTCGTTTATTTATTAAATTATGTCTTGGATATGCCATCCAGATCTCTCTTTGTCCATGGCTGGTGGTTGCTTAGTTACATCTTTAATAACAACTGTCAGTGATACTTTTTTGTGTGTGACTTAAGGGAGGCATGACTGTAAGGGATATTCTAAGAATTCTGAATTAAGCTCCAGGTTACTAGAGACTTTGGGGCAGGTCAAGCCACCTGAGTGGGACTGGGGGGGGTCGGACTTTCCCCACCATGGAATGGGAAAGAAGAGCAGCCTAAGCTCTTTTGTGAAGAGAAGAAGAAGCAGAGAGGCTGGAATGGCTATATGTTTCCCAAAAGGAATGAGAAAAGAGGAATGGAGCTGCCCTTTAAAAGGGAAAGAAGGAGAGATCCTAAAGTCAGAAGGTTCACACAGGGCATCCAGGTGAAAACAGAAGAATCCAGCAAGGATGACTAGGTTTCCCAGACTCTAGTCTTTAAATGAGACTATTACAGAAGGCCTGCAGTGTCCTCAAAGCATGAGTTGAGAGCTTGTGGAGATGAGCAAGCCCCCTGACTATTTTGCAGCCATTTGTCTAGTTTGAGGCACGAGGTACTGGCCACAGTGGGCACATCTACCTGAGACATTTACTGCAGTTGCCTAATTAGCTCTGTAATCAGTGCCTTGGCATCTATATATGTGGCCCTGTTAGGCCACAGGAAACAAATATATTTATAAGTACTAACCTGCTGCAGAATTTAAGTACTATCCTGTAATTCTGTAAATACAAGTACTGTCCTGCTGCATAGTTTTTTTCATGCACAACAAGTGTAGACTATTACCAGCTGGCTGGGGCACAAGGGTGCTTCAGTGCGGGAGCTGCCTGCCAGCTAGCCCCACACTAGAGCAACCTTCTGTCCCAGCCAGCCCCTCTGCAGCATGTTGAGCCAGGTCGAAGCAGCCCCGGGCCGGCAG